ATTATAAAACATGTCCTTTATTTGTCTCTTATAGGGCTGTGTGCATCCTTGCACAATGCTCACGTACATCACGTGAAAACATGTTGTGATGCACATGTGCATCTATGCACATTGGTGCTGCACACAGAGCTCCATTTCTGCTACCTTGGACTGAAGATAACCATAGAATCATAGAATCCTAGAGTTGGAAGAGACCCCAAGGGCCATCCAGTCCAACCCCATTCTGCCATGCAGGAACTCCCAATCAAAGCATGCCCGACAGATGGCCATCCAGCCTCCGCTTAAAGACCTCCAAGGAAGGAGACTCCACCAAAATCTCCATTCAGGGAGTGTGTTCCAGTATCGAACAGCCCTTATGTTCGTACAGCCCTTACTGCTCCAAAGCCTTTACTGTACTGTCGCACAGCCCTTACTCTTTTGCATTGGTCAGAAACATCCAGCTCCTTCTGTTAGGGAACATATGTATGTGTAAGTCACCCAAAGGCTTCTGGATAGGTTGCATTATCAGCTGATAACCCTCCCAGCTCCACAGAGTGATCAATGCAATTACTGAGAAGACTGCATCATAATAGCACATTGTTTTGAAATTGATTGTCCTGAAATTGATAGGCCATGGAATAGAAAGAGAGACCCTTCAGGATTTTCCAAAGTGTGCAGGATCTTCATGTCATAGAACCATAGAGTTGGAAGGGATCTGTTGGAAGGGATCATAGAGTCTGTCTGGGATCGAACTCACAACCTTGTGGCTGTAGTACTGATACATGGGCTTCTAGTCCAAACCTGTGTCATGCAAGAAAACACAGAACTAAAGCACTCCCAAAAGATGCCCACCTGGCATCTGTATGAAGATCTCCAAAGAAGGAAAGTCCTCCATCCTCTGAGGCAGTCGTTGAACAGTCCTTGCAGCTAAAACATTCTTCCTAATGTTTAAGTGGAATCTGTTGTCTTGAAATTTCAGTGCATTGGTATGTTTTCTAGTCGCTGGAACAGCAGAAAACAAGCCGGCTTCATCTCTCACATGACATTGCTGGTCATAGTCCAATGCCCAAACCACTACACCACACTGGCTCACCTGTTTGCTTGTACCTTGCCAAACTACAAATCCCAGGATTCCATAGGATGGAGCCATATCAGTTAAAGCAATGTCAAACCGCATTAATTCTGCAGGATGACAGCTGCCTCTAACCATATCTACATGAAACTACTACTACTTTCTGTTTGATGGAATCCACCATTTTAGTGGGTTGAAATATTTCTGTAACTGATCGATTTAGTTGATCCATCAGTTTGGTATGTTCTTGATCTCTTCCTCCGCCTCTGTCCCAAAACCTGGGCTTTCCCAGATGTTAAAAGGAATGAACTCCAGAAGATGATGCTGAACGGTGGATGAAAGAAAGCTTTGTATATTTCCCATGCTATTAAGATGGAAGGGAAATTGTACTACTGTGCAGTGCCTCGATAAGCTTTGCTTTTGGCCACGGGGCAAAAGTGGGTTGTTGTTTTTTCATGAGCTTACGATCGGCATCCTGACACAGATGCCACGCATGTCCGTTGCCTTTGCCATGCGTCGTACCACTAATGTCACAGACGGTTGGCTGTGAGTACATCAGCGCACCGGCCCTGGACAAGACGAACGAACGTTCGGCGGTGTCCTAATTTCACCCAGTCCTTTTCCTCTTGGGAAAAGCCGTGCAGCAGAATCGCTGTCAGGCGGCAGAGCCCACGACAATGCCTATTAAATTTGCATTTCAATATTTGTCTTCCCGCGTTTGCATTTAGCCTGAATATTTACTTAATAAAATGTCTTGCCAGTGTCTTCCTCCTCATGGGCATTTTCCAGCAAGAGGCAAAGCAGTGACACGCATGCAGACAGAGATTATATAAGGGACATTTAATAGGTTTATATATGTGTGTGTGTGTGTGTGTGTGTGTGTGTGTGTGTGTGTATATCTGCACAGATAGCAGCTTCAAAATCCAGCCCATCTTCTGAAGTAGGTTGTGTGGTGCAATAGACTCAGGTTGATTAACTTAGCATTTAGTCCTCAATTTCTCTTCTCTATCAAACACACACATATGCACGCACACCTCCTCCCTTCTCTTTCCTTCTCTCAGAAACACACACACATATTGCATAGCAACAGATTGCATACTAAGTGACTTCCAAGGCTGCGTAGCATAAATCCTCACGTAGAGAGTTACATATAGGTTGTGCTACACAATCCTTGCAACCACATCTGCAACCAGTTGTGCATCCTAGTGTGCATGTATGTGTTTTGCATCCACATCAACATTTGCAATGCATGCCTTTGTGTGGCTGATGCACAAGGGCAGCTCATGTGCAAGTTACGTTCCACTGTAGGAAAAAATGTCCAAATACTTTCATAAGAGAACTTATACATGCATAACATGTCAACATGTATCAGTTTATATTTAACTAAGTACTTAACTAAGTAACTTCTCCTGGCCTGAAACTAGGACTGTAACTGTTTCATAGTCATATTTGCCTGTTGTTGTTGTTGTGTGCCTCCATATGCTCCTGACTTATGGTGACCCTGGGATGATTATGAGGTTTTCTTAGCAAGTTTCCTCAGAGGGGGTTTGCCATTGCCAGGGGTAGGCAACCTTTCCCCTTTAAGGGCCGAGGGACTTCAGCTCCCAGAAGCCTCAGCCATGTTGGCCAATAGTCCCATGTTGGCCAATAGCTCCTGGGATTCTGGGAGTTGAAGTCCCTCGGCTCTTAAAGGGGAAAGGTTGCCTACCCCTGGCCATTGCCATCCTCTGAGGCTGAGAGAGTGTGACTTGTGGCCCAACAGGGATCGAACCCTGGTCTCCAGAGTCATAGTCCAGCCTTCAACCCATTGTACCACACTGCCTCTCATTCACAATTGCTACTTGCTACTTCATTGCTATTTTGGCCAGGATATGGACATTTTCGGTGGTGGTAGGGAGTTCTGGGGACATTTGTAGAGAGGAGCATGTTGATGCCCATTTTTGCTTATTGGAAGCAGTTTTGGCATAAAAAAGATAATTAGAAAAATGTGGGGACTCTTCTAACCTTTTTTCGCCTTTTAAAGTGCTTTATAACCTGCTTCAATTGTTTAGCTGCTTTATCTTGTTTAAAATGTACGTTGGTTTTAATTCAAGTTTGTTTCAATTTTTAATATCATTTTATCTGTTTGCCACCCTTGGATTTGTTAAGAATATTTAAATAAATAAATGCAAGCTTTAGGACCATAGTTCCCCTGTTCTTGCCTAATGGGACAGGCCTTTTGGCCAGGAACTTAGCACTCTCTTGTCTCTTCTGCTCCGCTGCGCCAGAGGCTAGAACACAAAGCAATATTTCCAAATTACAAGAAAAGAGATTCTATCTATAAACATTAGAAGGAATGTCTTGACTGTAACAGCTGTGGAATATGGACTGCCTCAGAGAGTGGTGGACTCTCCTCATTTGAAGGTCTTTAAATAGAGGATTAAACAGAGGATTAATGGAGCGT